CGGGAGGCGGGGGGCGGCCGGGGGCGGCGTGGGAGCTCCACGATTCGTGGCGGCGCGTTTGGACGTTGGTGGTCGTTATGGCCTTTCCATTCGTTGCGTACTTGTGCAGCGTGTCGCTCTTGCATGTAGACGACCAACGTTTTTCGTCATTCACTTTGGCAGGGGTGCTTTGTGACTTCGATTGTCGTTGTGTGTGGATGTGGTTAGTGTGGCGGTGCTGCGAGTAGACGAGTGACTTTAGACGGCGTTCGCTTCAGCACGTTGTAGGAGGGTTTTCGATTTCTGTTATCGTGTTGTGTGTTGTTGTCAATGCAGCTTGCTGCAAAAGAACTTTGCGCTTGGAGCGCACCTTCAATTTTTTAATCTTGCACCCGTTGTTTTCGTCAGTTCGCAGGCATGACTAAATGATCATTCGTCTGTTTGATTAGTCGTTCGGATTAATCATGAATAATCGTTCGTTTGTTCGATCTGTATGCACACATTTCATCTTCTTTTACTTATGTCATTGTCGCTCGCATGAATAATCGTTCGTTTGTTCGATCTGTATGCACACATTTCATCTTCTGTTACTTATGTCATTGTCGCTTGTTTGTTTGTTTGTTTGTTTGTTTGTTTGTTTGTTTGATTGTTTGTTTGTTTTTGCAGTTTCCCAATGCCACCCAAGAACTGTGTTTGATCCTGATTTCAACAGTCGAAGGAAGACAATGCGCACAACCCCATAGAGCAGATGATGTCCAAGAACACATCTTGTGAATATGTAATGGCACAATGCATCTTCGTTCGTATTGATCATCGCAATGAAATAGCAACACAAAGAATAACAACACATACTAACAATCGACTATATTAACATTGGAAGGAAATTACGAAATTGTACATCATTTCATTAAAAAGACATCAAAATGCAACGCAGGGGGGACAAGTTTCAGGCCCACCTGCATGACCAACCCTGCTCTCTCTTCTAAACGGCACTCGCTGTTAGTGCGCCGTATCCCTAAAAGGTTACGTAAACGCCAATAAAAAAACTCCATAAACAACGGTCACACACATCCACGAATCGGGACACCGACGAACTACAACCTCCAACACACACTAGCAACCCCAAGGCGGGACGCTTACTAACAACCCAATCAAGGCTGGACGAAACAACGAATCTGCCCTCCGGCCAGTGCTGCAATGACTACACTTCCACGCGCTGCCGTCCACCATGTGAACACAACTCAATCGTGTTTCATTAGTTTCGCCAAAGCATTCCGCAGCGCCAACACTTCCCTCGTCGACGTAATCATAGACACAGGCTGAAGGAGCTCTTCGATCCCCAGGTCCACACGACGTCGCACACCATTAGCGTCAACCTCCCATAGCAGATGCTCGTCGAACGGAATTCCAGTGTCGATCAGTATGTTGTGCAGTATACAGACGGCGGTGAACTGCTGCGGGATCGTGTCCAGGTTCATCTTGTGTATCCGCAGAAACAGCTGCCACATGCCCTTCAGCCTGCCGAATGACCTCTCCATCGCTCCCCTCGCCACCTTCTGCTTGTTGTCAAGGCGCTCCTGGTCGACGTGCTGATTGACGCCTCCATACGGGACAGCCATCCATTCCGAAGGGGGGTAGCCATTGTCCGGCAGGACATACCCGGTCGTCTTCACGTCGAATGGTATGTCACAGGGGGACCATGGAACAATGACCCCTCCGCACGCTGCGACAGGTTGGACAACTGGAGCCCCTGATGTCCTGGCAGCGACCCGGGTATCCCATGTGCACATCGAGCACACGCAAGTCCAGGTCGACGGCAACCTGCGCGACGATGGAGAAACGGTGCTTCCTGTCGTAGTATTTTTCGCATGGTGCGTTCGCCGGCTTGCCACGTAGAATTGAGTACAGTCAATGCAACCGTGGCAATTGGGGAACCCTTATCAGTGAACACCCGCAGAACGACGACCGGCCAGGCAATCTTCTCTCCGAACACCCGGAGCAGCGCAGCAGTAACGTCGCGGACGGCAACCAGGCCAAAAGCTCGTCCAATCCCAAAGTTGCACATGCTGCTCTCGTAATCTCCCCTGTGGCCCACCGGTACAGTGCGTATGCCACAATCTGGTCTGGCTGCAAAGGCTCTCTGTAGAATGTCACCCGCCGCTGAAGATGAGGCGCGCACGCCTTCGCGATTTTCCGGAACACTCACGGCGACATGCGTAGTTTATCCTGAAAGTAATCGTATGTCGCATCCTCGCATTGCCTGAGGTCTTCCCACGTGCCTCCTGTCCTGCGCTTCATCCACCACCTCGGCATCGCTCGAGGAATCACTCAGCAACCCAACGCGTAGCACAGCTGAACAACAGCCTTCGACGTCACCACGTGGTCGGGCCCATTGTCCGGAGCTTGCCTCAATGTCCTCCGTCTACGCGCGCTCAAATGCTCCTTCAGTTGTCACAGCGCCCTCTCCTGCTGACATCGAAGAACGATGGTGGACACGGCCGCCACCACGGCCTGCAGCTCATGAGGTGTCAACACCTCACGTCTACCCTCTCCGCCGCCCTCCATAGCCGCGACCTGGACACGGACCCGTCGCTCCGCTGCCGTCTGTGTCGTCCTTCCACACCTGACGAAGAAGCCAAAGACGTCCGTCGAAAGCTGGCCCCTTTTCTCTGGATGCAGTCCCTCTCATGGAAACCTGTTGCAAGGCGCGGTCGACGTGTGTGAAGGTCCACGGCGATGGACGCACCAGACGCTGCCCGCGCAGTCGCAACGGCCGGGGGACGAAACTGACGCCGCCACTCAGCCCGTTTCCGCAATACGCGGTCTTCACGCCGCCAGCCCCACGTCGTCGTCGTGGTTGCAGCAGTCGTTCGAAATTCGAATTTCAAACGTCGACGCCCTTCGGGTTAATTTCTTTTTCACGTCGCCTGCCGTATGCCGTTTCCCGCCATGCGTCACTGGACCATGCCGCCTCCACACGGAGGAAAGACGCTGGAGCAAGGACGACCGACCCTGCGGCCACTAATTTCCGTATGAAAACAGCCGCGGGCAAGCCACAAGGAAACATCCTCGGGGGAGGTCCCCAAGGATGAGTGGAACGACGTCGCAAATTTCCCTTAAGAGCCACAAGGAAATTTGCTTTTGGCTCAAGGAACTCGGAAGGAGTGTCTAATGAGCTTGGATGGCCTTCTGCGGTCACAGATCCCCTCCCAAGCAAAGGCTGGGCTATGTGGCCCTACCAGTAGCAGTCAGATCGGCCATCTATGCAGTGAGGGAGAATTTTGTTGCCATGGTGGGAGTCGCACTGGCACAATTTTGCAACAAAAGTGATCTGTTGGACGGAAAACTTCGACTTAGATGGCCTTTTACAGGCCCAGAGGCTGGGGTTAAGTAGCTCTAGCGGTCGCAGTGAGATCGACCACCTATGCAGTAGTAATCTGGAAGCTGAGGAATGATCGTTTTTTTCCCGAGGTTCATTCTATCCGGATATTGCCATAAAAAAAAACAGGGTGTCCCGGAAAAGGCAGTAATTTTTGGGGTTCTTGACAACCTGGTAAGGGCCAACCCTTGGCCGGACCTGGCTTTACTCCTTTGGGCTGGAGCGGAGGGTCTACCTGTGCTCTCTTTTCTGCAGGGGCGCCCTCGTGGCCTCACATTGATGAAGCTAGCAGATTAGAAGTTTGAATCCTGTTGCATGCAACAAGGTTTTAGTGGTGGTCCTGAACGCGCTCGTGCGCTCGTGAGATGCTTCAGCTCTTTTGCCGCCTACCCTTGCAACGACATAAAAGGTGCGGTGGAACACGAAGCAAACAAAAAGTGCGCCAGGGCGAATGATGATAGGGGATGTTGAAATGGACTCCTTACAAAAGGCCTCGCTACACTACACAACACTCCACACTCATTTGGACTCTTTCTGGACTGGATACATTCAAAATGTTGGACTTGTCCCGAGGAACCTGGTCGAGAAAGAGGCCAAATGCATATGTGTAGTGGACCGTGGCTCAAAAAGCTGCAGGAAGGCGAAAAGAAGAGGATGCTCATCTCCATTCACTACTACGCTACTGGCTGAATAGGACACATGACCGTTGCTCTTTTCCTGGCGAAGAGCGCAGGGGCACATTAACTCTTTGGCCTGGGGCCTAGGAGAGAGGAGTTGGCTGGGGGGAGCTGAGGTCTCACTTCCCAGGGTTCTTTTTTTGCGACCATAGATTACAACAATCAGCGGCCATGAAACGAGAATCCGGGCAAGTGGGACCTTGTCGCTTGGGCCCACCATTCGGAATTGACATGCGAAGCGAAAACTGAAAAATGAGGGGCGACCAGATTGGGGGCCCATGAGGAGCAGTCTTGTATGTATGCTGGATACCCCTGAGGACCCCCCCCCCCCGGGGCAGGTGCCTAAGGCGGCAGGGGGTGGGTCGCTGGTTGTCTGTGAACAGTGCTTGCCAGTTATGAGCAACCGGATTGGTGCCCCCCAGAACAGAAGGGGCAGGAACACCAGTTCCGTCAAAACGGACACTTCTTTTCATTTCTTGAATGAAATTGAAACTGACGTAAACCACCAGTACTTCCTCGAGTCGTGCCCGTGAACGCGCCACGATTTTAGGAAACGTACGGGCTACTACAGGAGCACCCAAATTCATCCGACTAGAAACGTTTCTGCTCTTTTCTTTTCCGCGGCCCAGAGCTGGGCCAAGTACTGCTTCAGGTCAAAATTTTTAGCTCTCGAGGGTGTGGTCTTCTTAAAATGCCGCAGCCCCCGGATGTATCTGGAGTCTGGACATAGCTGGGGTCCAGGGGGTCCGGCGTTTTAAGATCGTGGGAACCCCTGGATGTATCTGGACATAGCTGGGGTCCAGGGGTTCCGGCGTTTTTAAGATCGTTGGACCCCCTGGATGTATCTGGACTTAGCTGAGTCCAGGGGGTAGGGCGTTTTAAGAACGCCGGACCCTCAATTTCGTCAAAAATGTCCATTTTTTTGACACGAAATTGCTGTTGAGGTGTGTGTGTGGCGTTAAAAAAAAAAAAAAAAACAGAAAACTTGATCCCCTGGGGGGGAAGGGGGCCTTGGCAAACTCAGTGCAATGCACTTGCTGGAGTAATGAACACATGCTTCTCTGTACTACTAGTTCGCGTGTGCTTTTTTTTGTGTGGTGGGGTGTGACGTGTTCTTTTTTTCAACATCAAGTTGATATTACAAAAAACTACTGGCCAAATACACCCCAAAAAGTCCTATTGTGAGTATGCCCTCACATGCATGCCGCATTGTTGTAGGTGTTACATTGATCATCTTATTACATATCATTCATGGCAGGTCTATCTCACGCTCAAGCTCACTGAGCCCCCTCATGTGCTCCTTGAACCTTGTGATGTCACTTGAGCTCACCGGCCTCTCGCTTGATTTGTCACATGCCTGACCCCTTGTGCAAACCCGCTATGAAGTCGGCCGCTTCTAGCGAGGAGTGCAAAAGGGTGAAGTAGAGCCTGCACTAAGGCCCGAAGAAGTGCAAATCTACACTACAGGAACATATTCACCACCAACAACCAGGCGCGAAGCGCCGGCAAATATGCAATCATCGAGGGACAAATCTTTTTAGAATCAGAACTGTTTTATCGTGGAATCTGACCTGCCTAAGTATTTCTCAGTGACTGATAGTGTACGAGTACCGTGAGGGAAAGGTGAAAAGAACCGTGTCTATTCTTCTCCCTTGTAAAAGCAAGAAAAGCCATCCATCCATCATGGGGAGTGAAGAGCGTGAAACATCTTGTCTGCTGGTGGAGCAACAATATCATCTGTTTACTGAGATCCAGTCTGGGCTTGAAATTCAGTTCTGCTGTGTGTTATTATTGAGTGCAGGTCCACTTCTTCAAGGCTCCAACAGTCAGCATTCAGCTCAACCAAATGGAAACTTGTTTTTTGCATCCCTTCAAATGGCCCAACAAGACTGCTGTACATGGAATCGCTGCCGACTATTCAGTGAGAGTTGCCTCCTGTTCGGAGTCCGTAAGTTGCGTGCTCCCCCTCAGGACATGCCCCCACTCCAATTGCACAACAAGGACATGCGCATTGATTTCCAGACCTCCAATGGTCGTCAAGGCTGCCTTTGCTGCACCTTCTCGTTGGGCGGAACAAATTCTTGATTCAGATGCTCCTAAGTCGCACAGAAGACGGCGATTGCACAGCTCATTGGTGAGAGCAGGTGTCGGGGAATCCGACAAGGATGTTGTGCAGGATGTTCGAAATGACCTTAACGAGGGTGCATCAACATCCAGAGGGGCTGGAGATGACGGCGCGTCGTCAGCTCCGCAAAGCATTCCGTTTTCGGATTATGCGAGGGCTAGTGGTGTATCGATTACGGAACTCGTTACCCTAGAGCCAGGCGCCTTTCCGTTTAAAGATGACGACTCTGAAGAGGCAGGTCCTACGGCCGAAGAGGCAAACGCGTTTGCAGTCAAGTCTGGTTCCTTGCTATCCAGCACGAAACGAGGCGGGCGAGGAGCACAGGTTGCAGATATCCTATATGTGTTTGGTGGTCTTCTAGACCGTCCATTTAGTGATGGTGATATGATCGCGAAGGCTGGGCGCATTGCCATTGAAAGGCTCCAAGGAGACGTGAAAGAGCTGTTCCAGCACGATGATGTAGATCAGCAGTTGCTGTTTGAGTTGGAGAGGTGTCTGAAGTTGTTGAATGTTCACATAGATCTTATTGGAGCTGCAAAGAAGCGCGAGACTTTGCTGCAAAGGCTAGAAGAAGCGAAGGTACCATGCAGGCAAGCAATGCAGATAGCTGAAAACTTGTAGACAGGGTCGACCCTGTTCACACTTGAAAGCATTCTGGCGGCTTTGACTTCCGGTTATTTGTCTATTGCTGCAGGCAAGTTTCAGTGGCGAATTGTGTTAACTTATCGCCGATGGGAATTGATGCATTGCATAATCCTTGGAGCACCATGGCATCACCCACATCCTTTGCTCCCGTAAGTTGTTGCATCTTTGTTTTCAACTCTGGTTCTCTTCCATTTTTTCACTTCACAACTTCAGAATGTAGAGAGAGGTGTTTGCTCCTTCTTTCAAATCGTAGTGATGGATTCCGCGTTTAGTGTTTTAACTATTTCTCATTGAAGATCTTTCTCTTCCAATGTGAGTTTCTCATGAATCACTGTGCATTTTTCTTTTATATACTATCTACTAGAACATAGTGGTCTACTGGAAAATCATTTCTCTGATGTATGGATCTAATACATGATGTTAATGTAAGGTTCTCCGAAAGATGTGAAATGAACTCAGCTTTCGCAGCTCTAACGAATTCAGCCCCGGCTTTCATTTCAATGTAAAACCTTCTCCGCAGTGGTTGAGGGCAATCGTCTCACTGAATTAACGAGAACACGAGGAATGCTTCTTTTTCGCCTTTTTTTCTTCCCCTGCTTTTAGATTTTGTTCCTCTTGGTATCGATCTAGTGACACTCTAATCCATCCTCGTCAGATGGTTGCCTGTTGATCTGAAAGGCAGGTGAAGCTTTTCAGAAGAGAGCAGATTTTTACGCTTCGGCTAGCTCTATCGGGCCCTGAATTGGATAATGCATTTTTGTCACAGCGCCTGGGCTAGCAAAACCTATTTCCTGTCTACCATTGCATTTTTGCAACGAAACCGCACTGGAGACACTCAATTTGTGAGGGGGCTTAGTCCAGTGGGTAGAGCACTGGTGTCACGTGCACGTTGTGGTATGAGGTTGCGGGTATAAATGTTCAGGTCTGCAACTTCACGCACGCAGGCAGAGGGCATCGATGGAGGCCACTCACACACTAGTTGCTTTGTGTTGGGGGTCGTTTAGGGGCCACCGGGTCCCGGTATACAGTTTGCCCTTGGGTTGGATTGTCTTCACTGTTTGGGTAGACAGGAGGGAAGTGCACGTCAAGGGGGGGTTCATGGACCCTAAGATTTGTGGAGGTATAAGGGCACTCCTTGGAGGACCCTTGGGATTAATATAGGCGGCGCACTCTCAAAGGACGGGGGGATCAGACACCCTTAGTTAGCACTGGGGCAGTGAGAGCTGTAGTTGGCCTCCCGGTGGCTTCGGGGCCCCCCATTCGTAGAAAAGCAACACTAGTGTCACTAAGTTAAACAAAAGCTGGTCCAGTACTCGGAGTAGGTGCATAGGTGGTAGTAATCTGCGCCAGAGACAGAATCGCTCGGCGCGTTGAGGAATCGTTTGGTCCCACAGAAATAAGGGGCCATAGTGGTAGGCTATACCAAACAGCATGAGTCAGAACCACCTTGAGGGATCTACCAGTCCACAAAATAAGTAAAAACGGAAAAAAAGTGAATTGAAACAACGGTACTAGTAGCGCTATATGCAAATGTGTGGTCTGGGAGGGGAAGGGATGATAGAACACTCTCTTGGTAGGGGCGGGCACCCCGTTGGACAGCAGGTGACAGGGTGCATGATTGCCTCCCGCCAGGCTGTCCTTGGTAGAGGATAGCGAACTGAGCCCCTAAGTCTGGGAGTGTAATGCCATGATGCCGGCGGCCAGGAGTACTGGTCCCAGTGGATGCCTTTCCATGGTCTGGTAATGAGGTTGAGTGTGGATCTTGAGAGAAAATCTGAGTGTGTGTGAGTGTAGTAGGGGCTGTGGAGAAGGGACGGGGCATACGAAGCCATTGGGCGTAGGACTGCCAGCAATGGGTCCTGGTTGGCGAGTGTAGTACCCACTCCAGTAGTGAGCGAAGGCTCTACGTGCCAGCCCTCCTGGTGGGGCTGCTGTCAGTGGCCGCGCGGTAGGGCCGCCCTAGACCGACTCCAACCTGGACGACCTTTACATTAGAAAAATAGAAGAAAAAGAAACTCAATTTACAACCCTGGACATAGTGACCAGGTAATTAGCAGAAATGACATAGCAATGATTGCAGCAGCACAAGGATTGACTATGTTGAAGCCTCTTGATTATGAAAAGCCCTCTTCCTGCCCCCCAACAATCAATATA